CTGTATCATTCTTTCTGCTGGCCTCAGGATCACTAGAATGAGCCCTGATGGTCACTTGGCACAGACTACAAATAATTTTTGCAAGTGTGTTTACAGTTTTCTCATTTAAATGAACATGTCACAATGCTCTTGGGAACAACTTTCCATTAGCCTGAGCACAGCAGATAACGTGAGGCGACTCTGCTCACTGAATGAAATTTGCTTCTGCTTCTGCTTTGGAGGTCTGATTTTTATTGGAGGCAGGACCCGGTTGGACCGGGTCGACAGAACAAGTCTGATTTCTCATTCATGTTTATTGAATTCCCTGATGGCTGGGTAGATGAAGAGACCACTTAGAATTTATAATAAAAATAATGCTAACCAACACTGGATGCTTACTAGATATCAGGCATTGTCTAAGCACCTTACAGTATGAGCTCATAATAACGCTATGAAGTAGGTACAGCAATTATTCCCACTTTGTTTATAAGGAAACTGAAAATTGAAGAGGCTAACTAATTTACCCAGGTTACATAATATCTTAGTTTGTTAAGTTTGCTTTCAGAAACCATAGACTGGGTGGTTTATAAACAATAAACATTTATTTCTTATAGTTCTTGAGGCTGAGAAGCCTTAGATCAAAGCTATGGCAGATTCAGCATCTGGTGAAGACCTGCTTTCTGCTCAGCATGGCAGAAGGGACAGGGAGGTCTCCAGGGTCTCTTTTATAAGGGCATTAATCTCGTTTATGAGGGCTCTATTCTCATGACCTAATCACCTCCCAAAGGTTCCATGTCCAAATACCATCACATTGGGGGTTAGGTTTCAACAAATGAATTCTGGGGTGACATAAACATTTAGTTTGTTGCACATAGCTAGAAAATGGTAGAGCTGGAATTTGAACCCAGGTGACCTAGTTCCAGAACCCATTTTCTAAACCATTGTGCTATATACTGGTGATACGTTTTGTCTTGCTGCAAATATAGCTGAGGTTCTAGTCAAGGACAGACAGTACAACAGGTGAATCATACATAGAAAAATTAGTATAGGGATTAAAACTCCTATGCCTACGTGCACCCCCAGGAGGGAAGCTGCTCAGGTGTAGTCATACTCAGTGGTGAGGGCTATCATGAACTTCTTTGTGAAGGGGGCAACTGTGTGTAAACATGTAAGTTTTGTTTTCATGGTTGGTTTTTGTTTTTGTCAAGAGAAGCCAGATATCTGAATTTCAATGTGAAACTTAGAATTTATAAAATCACCTTGCTGTTAATGACACTCATTTTTCTATTAATGGTTAAATTGTACTATTGTGTAATATAGGCTAGGTTTTCTGGCAATAACCAATGACCCCCAATGATCATTGGCTTAAAACAATTAAAGATTATTTCTCATTAATGCTGCTTGCCCAACATAAGTCAGCAGGGCTGCCTGCTCTTTGAATGTCTCAGAGACTCAGGCTGAGGGAGGCTTTATTGCACACATTTTTTACATAGTAACTGCAATAGTGAGAAGGGGAACGTGGGACTCATGCACTGACCCTTAAAGCTCCTTGTAGAGGTGGCACAGATCCCGTAGACTCCCATTTCCTTGTCCAAAGACAGTCAATGACCACACCTAACTTCTAAGGGGATGGGGGGAGCGCAGTCCTCCCGTGAGCTGAAGTGAGAAGCTAAATGTTTGTGAATATTCAGAATGACTCTAATTTTTAAGGCAGAAATGTTAGAATTTTTTGTAAGGTAGAAACCAATTTTCAGAGATCTCAAACATAAGTTAATTCAAAAAAAATTATTTGGTTCCTGAAGGATGAAATTTGACTTACCTGGAAAATTCCTATTTTCCTTAATTTGGATTAATGAAACTTATTTAAATACGATATTCTTTTAGCTGATTAGGAAATCATATGGAGGAACTGTGAAATGATTCTTAGCTGAAGTGGTGATTTATAAATGAGTATTTACTCCAGAAAGCACTGCTCGTATATTTAAAATATTTGTTTATGTTAGCTCCCATCTTGTGTAACTTGTCTCATTAACTGTGCTGTAGGATAAGAATCTTGTCTTATTAATTCATACTCTATAGTGCCTGGCAGTATAGAAAATGGTTATTTAACAGATGTTAATACATTTTATTGATGTTTATCAATTAGTAGTTTATAAATGCCTATAATTAGAGATCCTGACTTCAGGAAATGTCACAGAAGTTGAAAACACTTCAGGCAATTTTTTTTTTTATTATTATTTTGTCAATATACAATGTAGTTAGTTATTGTGTCCCATCACCAAAACCTCCCTCCCTCCTCCCTCTCCCCCCTCCCACCCAGATGTGTCCCCTCCATTTTCTCGTTGAAAGAGCTTCAAAAAAAAAAAAAAAGTTGAGGTTGTTAAATCTTCCTCTCCCCCCCCAAAAAAAGTTGCTTATTTTTTATTTTGATGGGATATGAAAGCCGAAATTCAGTAGTCCCTCAATTTTGAGGGCAGTTTTGGTTTATACCCTATGACTCACAAGGCAACCAGACCTTCTTTTCAAATATCATTTTCCTGTGATGTTTTCATATGCTTTATTTGGCCTTTAGATTTAGATGAATCGTAACTTTAAAAATTCGTGAAGCAATATAAGTGCTCAGGGAGGTATTCGATAGCCCAAGATCTTGCAAGGCTCTAAACACTGTTCAAAACAAGCCCATCCTTCCTCCTAAACCCACACCCTTCCTGGATGACCAGATAGAGGATGATTCTTATTCTCATGAAATGCAGTGTGCTCAGGGACATGAATGTGTGAGGACAGAGCTTGGCCCAGGAACAGGGTTTCTATAATTTAATGGTGGAATTGCTCCCCTTGGAGAACGTTGCATGAACACAAGTTACTCATTGATTGAATCCCAAGCATGCAAGTGTGTTTCCAAAATCAATCACTCTTAAGTTATTCCACATGTACTTGTAAATATTAATATAATGGTCTATGTAACTGGGCTCTCTGTTAATACTGAAGGTGGAGGAGGGTGTAGCATAGGTCTTAAGATTCTGGTGTCAGATGACCTGGGTTTTAAAACCATTACTGACACTATATACTAGCTGTGTAATGTTGGCAAGTTATTTAACCTCAGTAATGTTTAGATTCCTTATATTTAAAGTGGAGATGAAAGATATCACATATATCATAAGATTGCTGTGAAGATTAAATGAAATAATATCTGCGACGTACAAGACACAATGCCAGGCACGTGTAAACATTCATTAAAAATCAGCTATTATTATTATTTTATTACTATATTTACAAAATTATATAATCAGGGAAAGAAGATCTCAAAAGTCACTGGATTCAGCTACTCATCCAATAATTTAATCCTCCCTACAGTTTTACTGCCAAGAAGTCTCCTAGCCCATGATTGAATACTTATTATTGGATAACTCTGATTTCTCAAGCTTTCTGTTATTGAACTAAATTATGCTTAAACCTGTAGCTTTCACGATTTGGAAATACACAGAATAAACGTGGACAGCCCTTTGAAAATATCTCTAATCCCAGGCTATTCCCTAAATCCTTGGAACTTTTCTTACCTCTCCCTGAAACTTTCATTGGATCTTTCTCCTTCCCTTCAACACCAACATTTTGGAAAGAACACTCTATAGATATGCTTTCAACTTTTCTCCAGTTTCATTTTCTCTTCAACACCTCGGGTACAGGGTCTGCTTCAGCAGCTCCCCAAGCTGAAGCGTAGGGACTCCCCAGGAGTCCACACACAATGGAAAACGGAGAGAAGTCATAGAATTGACCTTCTTTAACTGAACTCTGTATAATGCTCTAATCACTGTACTAAGAGTTTTACATATATTTTCTCCTTTAATCCTTACTAAGACCCTTTGTGAAATACATATTAGTACTATTATCTCTATTTCACTATTGAGGAGAATGAGCCTGTGAGAGTCTGAACTGTTCAACATCCTGCAGCTTGAAAGGGGTGGCAGGTGGGTCATGATTTGTAAGGGGGCTGACGGCCTCCAAAGTCTCTGCCCTTAAATACCAGGTTTATAAATATAAATAAAGTTGGATGAGTTTGGGGAGGTAGATATAAGCCATCAGGTCAGTTCATATGAGTATTATTGGGCACACATTATGTAAAAGACATATTTGTGAAATGAAAAGAAGTATAAGACACAGCCCTTTTTCTCCTATAAGGAAACTCACAGTCTAGCAAATACACACACACACACATACATATACCTATGAAAAATAACTCATAAGAGAGGTGGAGATATGTAGGTATAAAAACCGGGGGGGGGGGTAAGAAGATATAACAACTATACTTTTTTGAAGTTGTTACAACAAGCAAATGGAAAGGACATTCTTGGGGGGGAGGGGAGAGAGGGAGGAGGGTGGGAGGTGTCGGTGATGGGCCATAATAATCATATACATTGTATATTGACAAAATAAAAATTAAAAAAAAATAGATATAGATAATGATAAAGAGAAGGAGATATAAAGATATACAGTAGATACAGAATATAGAGAGAAATGGATACACACACGTACAGATATTGGTACGTGGAGACAGAGACAAAAACAGAGAAAAACATATTTAAGGTAAAACTATGGACCAGAAGGATATACATCAAATTCAGTGTAACGGTGGCTTGGGGGAGAAAATGAGAATAGGACAAGTGTAGGGGTGGGGAGAGAGGGAAGGTCTGAGGGGAGAGGGGAGAGAGCAAACATCATCTGTAGTTTCCATTTATTTTATATACGTAAAAACATCTGAACAAAAGCATAAATAAAAAAAGAGAAGGGCTAAGGAGGGATAGTTTCAATTCTTCTCTTTTAATTTTTGGGGCCTTGCGTAAGAATCATATACATGATATACCGTGAGACTTCATATCATTCATATTTGTTAAACTATGTTCTCGTTAAAGAGAGCCAACCCATCAATTTCAGAAGGACAGCATCACAAATAAGGTGCGTGAAATCCAGGCAGTTCCCCTCCCCTGTGTGTCCTCTCGCCGCTGACCACCGTGTTTCTGTCGCAGGCCGTGGGCTGCGATCGGCAACTGGGAAGCACCGCTAAGGTGGACAGCTGTGGAATCTGTGCTGGCAATGGCTCCAGCTGCAGGCTCGTACGGGGACATTCGAAGTCAAACGTTTCTCCCGAAAAAAGTAGGTTTTCAACCCAATGCTGTGTTTCCACAAAACAAGATGTGCTTCAGACCACCTATGACTAGAATAACATTTTCCTAATGCTAAGCTTTTTTAGTTGGAAATCACTTCGGACCAGTTTTCTAAAAGTCAAATCTCTTCCAAAACCTGTATATCAAAATTTTTGTTCCCATTATAACTTCAAAGAGTACCTGTTTCTTTGAACCTCTGTAGATACAGAGTATTACTGTTTCTTAAATATTTGCTGATTTCTCAGGTAAACCGTGAAGGAATAATTTCTTTTATTTGCTTCCTTGGATTGCTAACAAGGTAGGAAATATCGTCATATATTTATTGCTCAGTTATGCTTTTTCATTTTTCAATTAGCCATTGAAGCAGTTTTACCATTTTCTTATTTGGATGTTGATCTTTTCATCACTGTTGTGAGCTTTTACTATATCACAAATACTAACCTTTTGTCTGTCATACCTATTTCAAATGTGGTTCCCAGTTTATTTGACTTTCAATTTTGTTTGTGTTTTTAGAATCAATAGTTTCTAAGTTTTGTGTATTCAGAAAATTTTATTTCAGGGCCGGCCCGGTGGCGCACTAGATAGTGCGCCACTTGGGAAGTGCGGCGGCGCTCCCGCCTGAGGGTTCGGATCCCACATACAGACCGGTTCCCGCTCACTGGCTGAGCGAGGCGCGGGGGCAGCACCACGGGCTGCAATCCCGTTGCCGGTCCCCGGTCCGGTACGGGGGCAACACTGAGGGTTGCGATCCATTGCCGGACACGGAAAAAAGACAAAAGACAAAAAAAAAAAAGAAAATTTTATTTCATTAATATCTGGCTTTTTAAAATCCGTTAACTTCAGGGGTCAGTAAATTTCTGTGTAAAGGGCCAGATAGTAAGTATTTTAGCCTTTGCAGGGCATACAGTCTCTGTGTCAGCTCCTCAACACTGTCATTGCAGTGCAAAAGCACTCAAAGACACTCTGTAAACAAATGGGCATGGCTGTGTTCCAATAAAACTTTATTTACAAAAATAGGCTGTAGGCTGACTTTGGCCCTCCGGTTGTAGTTTGTTGGCTGTGTTCCAATAAAACTTTATTTACAAAAATAGGCTGCAGGCTGACTTTGGCCCTCCAGTTGTAGTTTGTTGACTCTTGCTTTGAAGGGAAAAAATTATTCGTTGACTCTTGCTTTGAAGGGAAAAAATTATTCGTGCAAGTTTTCTGCCAATACTTTTATAGTTTTGTTTTTCTACTTTTACACCTTTTATTCTTTTGAGTTGATTTTGATATAACTTATGAAGTAGGGATCTAACTTGTTCCCCTAAATGAGGAGAACATTACAGGAGGGTGGAAGGTTTTTTAGGCAGAGGAAACACAAAGTTCATGGTCTGACACCAGAGGAAAGCCTGAGTTTTTGGAGGAACTACTAATATGTTGCTCAGGCTTGAATGCACACTGAACAGTATGAAAGATAAGACAGAATGGCGTTCAGGAGTCAACTATAAAAGCCTTCATTGTTGTGCTTTCATTTCAGGTTAAGTGGAGTCATTAAAGTAATTTAGGCAGTGGAGTGACATGATTAGATTTGTGTTTTACTGAAAGAATTCTGGCAGCATGTGGAGGCTGGATTACCTGTGAGGTGAGCCTGGAAGCAGGGAGTCCGAATAGGAAGGCTTTTTATAAATCGTTAAGAGTATTTGAAATAATGAGGCCTTGGTCTAGAATAGTGTGGCCGGAGATATAGAGGAAGGAACAGTTGGAGAGAAATTTAGGAGACAGAATGAGCAGAGTTTGCTGATTCTTTGAATGAAGACTATAAGAGAAAAAAAGAATTTAGAATGATGCAAATTTTCCAGCTCGAGCAGCTGGATGGATTTGTTTGCTGTTTGTTTGTGTAAGGAATTCATGAAGAGGAGACACACACATATCAAAGGTAAGGGCCCCCTTCCCTGGATTTTCATTCTTTTCAGAATTTTGGCCCCATAAGTATTCCATAAGGCCTTCAAACAGATGCTGATTTTATTTTGTTCGTAGTTGAGGGTTGATCTGAAACACATCAGTCCATCACAGCTGACAGCGAAACCTCCTTACCGGTGGTATTCAGTTATAAATGTAGGTGAGTCCACCCAAAGAGAGATTGTAGAATAAAACAGCAAGCCAAGAATTGCATCTTGAGAAACATCTGAAGCCAAGGCATTTAGCCAGGGAAGAAGTTTAAGAGCATTCAGCTGAGAAGGAACAAAAAGAGTAAGTAAACACAAAACTTAGCAAGAGCAGTATCATAGAAGCCAAAGGAATGAGTAATTTCAAAAAAGGAGGTAATCGTCAGCTATGTTAAACACTCTTGCCAGGTCAACTAGCATAAAGGTCCAAAACTTTCTCTTGGACAACTTGAAGATCATTTGTGGCATTAGCAAAAGTGGTTTCAGTGAATTTCAGGCTGAAACCAAAGCTTGACTACAGTGGGTTGATAAGTGAAGAGAAAGAAAAAATGTATACAGAGAAGGATTTGCCCAGGACAAGAGGAGGGGTGCGCACTGACACCATGTCAAGCAGAAAAACCCTTGGTATTGAATGGAGCAGAGGGAGCTTCAAGAGTTATCTTCTTGTTATAAAGGTGGTTCAATATCATATTGACTTTAAAAGTGGATGAGGCCAGTCCATTTGGTGCTAGTGTATGTGTCTTTGCTTTCTCTTCAAGGAGGCAATGTTGTATAGCTGACTAGAGAATGGGCTCTGGAATCAAAGCCCAGCTCTGGAAACTTCTAGCTGATTGACCTGTAGCAAGGTGCTTAACTTTTTTGGGCCCCAGTTTTCTATCAATCAAATGGGGGTAATAATAGGATCTATCTCTATAGTTTTGAGGAAGATTAGCTGAAATGCTATACCTACAGTGCTTAGCATGGTGTCTAGCACATGCTCAATACTGTCAACTCTCAACCATTATAAGTAGGTCTTTTACAAGTTGCAATCTTTTGCAAGCTACAATTATTTGCATAAGTGGAAAAAATGAAGAACAGTAGTAGTTTTGACTTTGTTGGACCAAAAAATAAATAAATAAATAAAACAGGGTCTAAGGTGCTGAGTGCAAAGGGCTTTGGGCTGGGGCTTCTAAGGAGGTGGTAAGCCAAGTATTTAATATTCCGTCCATTCTGTTGTTACTAATATTGATATAATACTTTATAATTCCCAAAGTTCTCTTTAGATTCATCATATTTAATGCCACCAGCACCCTTACATTGTAGATTTGATAATGTCATCCCATTTTACAGATGAGGAAACTGAAGACCAGAGATATTAAGACACATCTCCTGTAGCTAATTGTGAAAGGCAGTATAGGGAACTGGTTAAGAAATTGGGGTCTGGACCAGAATGCCTGGGATTACACTCTGGGTCTGTTGATTACTTGCTTTGTAAACTGGGAAAGTTATTTAACTTCCATGTATATCTTGGTTTTCTCATTTTAAACTGGGAATAACAATAGTACTGCCTTTGTGGAGTTGTTGTCAAGATTAAATAAATCAACCCATACTCAGTACTCCAAATAGTTTGGCACCTGGAGAGTGCTCAATGACCTCTAACTGTATTTTTATTAGAAATATTACTCATTTGAGTACCAAAGGATGTAACACCTATTATATACCTTAAATGTAAATGTTGATATTTGTAAACAGATTTTTGAGTCAACAGTTGGCCCATAAGGGGATTGATTTTAAGAGAGCTACTGGTTGATATAGAGGAAAACCTTGGAAGTGTCAAAAAAGAGTGAACTGTAGGAGAAACCAAAGTTAGAGGAAGACTCAGATCAGAGGAAGATAGTTTAAGGAGACAGGCTGTACGGTGAAGAGGTAATTCAGGAAGGCTTGTGGATGTGGGGACTAAGGGAGGAAGATAGTAGCCAACTCAGGGTGTTGGGGAAGAGCCTGGAGTTAGCGTTGACCCCAAAAAGTTTGGAAATTTCATCAGAAAAGACCTTGCTTGATTGAGGTCCAAAAGAGATTAGAAATTGAGATAATTCTAATTGAACCATGGTAGAAGCCGAGTAAAATTGTGTCAAAGAACCAGTCTTTTTTGGAGAAGTGTGCAGAGAAGGCCCTGAAATGCAAGGTAGTTCAAATTCACACACACACACACACACACACACACACACACACACACACACACACACACACACACACACACACACACACACACACACACACACACACGTTTTCAGGTTTTGGATTCCACTGAGAATCCATTGAAAGTTATGCACTTTCTCTCCAGGCAAATGCACATGTACTCTTAAGCCCCAAATCCCAAATTTGCCATTCTGATTTTTGGGGGTTTCTCAGAGCCCTGATGCCCCTTTAGGACATCCCTAAAATGTCTAATGGTTTTGGTGGATTTCTATGAATAAAGGGGAACTGGAGTGCACAGGCAGCTCTTGAACTCAGGGCATGGGTGACAAGATGAAAGCCAGAGGCACCCTGCCCACCCCCAGGACACTGGCATCTCCTCAGCTTCTACCTGCATGTGCCTGGGCTGAGGCTAAAGTTAGCACGGATTCCTGTCTGCATGAAAACACAGTGCTTGGCATTCTTGACCCTCGTAACGGCCCCTTCATGTCTGTTACTGCTCTGAAACTGGCCAGCTGAAGCCGTTTTTTGGCTGGGATTTTCCCTAGGCCATATGGAAGCACTTCCCTATAATCATGCTTTGTGTGAAAGAAATGTAGGAAATGAAGCCATGTCTCCCCCTGAGTGTGCATCACTGGAGCCTGCAGGGTCCACACGGCTCCTCCGTCCACACCTTGCCAAGCAATCATTCCTATCTTCCCTGGGACTCACTCACCCTGAGTCAGGACATGGCAGTGAGATGCTATTGGCACAGCCCGTGCTGGAGAAAGTGCACAAAGCTGCACACGGGATATCGTTTCCATCGTACAGTAAGGCAGACACAAGGTATAGGAGCCTGGAGCCAAAACCTTTGCTATGAGAAAAATCAGAAATGCATCCAGATACAACA